TTTTCAAATTATTTCGGATTAGTAATAATGCTTGTGCATTTTTGTATAAAAAATATTTAAATTGGTTTTTTCTTAATCAATAAATTATTTTATATAGGCGAGTATACTGAATATGGTTCTGGGCGATTAATTTTGAGAAATTTTTATGTATCTTAAGGATCTAATATATTGTTGTCCTTGTTGTTTTCCAGGCTTATAAAATGATCTTCCCGAAATATTTTAAAATATGCTAGGAAAACTTCATATTCGATTTGAAAACTCGAAATTATTATCCTTTTTCTTTGTTAATTCGCAAAAAATTTTTTTTAATTCTTTATATTTAAATTGATAATTTTATATTATAAAAAAACACAACGAGAGCTTAAATAATCTTTTGTTAACTAAACAATAATTGTAAATGATTGTCGAATAATTTTTGTTAATTTTAAAATTTTCAAAAAATTAAATTCAATTTTATCTCTGAATGTAATTTCAGACAAAAGAAGTTTTTGAACCAAAGAATTTGTTGTTATTTGAACAAAAATGAAATTAAATTAAAAAATACAATGCATTTGGTTATTTTTTTCCATTTTAAGAGAGATTATTGTGGGTCTTTAAAATATTTGATAAAGAGAGCATTTTTGTGGTATTATTTTTAGTTCTTTAATTAATAAAAATATTATTTTTTAATTTAATATTTTAAATTAATAAAAGATTTTATTATTTTTTTAAGAATTTTGTACCAATGATGTAGATTGTAAAATGATTATTAATAAAATAGAAATTCGGTTTCATTCATTAAAATAGTTGATATTCTGAAATGTAAGATTCAGCACACGTACAACTATATTTTCAAAAATTGCTGATGTTTAAATGATGAGAACTCGAACAATGGATTTTTATGATTTACAATTTGAATTTTCATTAAAATTTAGACAATCTCTAAAAAAAGAACGCTTTAGACAAAAGTTAATTAATGAGTTACCATTTTGAAATTAAGCGAACGAATCTAGGATCACGTTTAATTTATCCGGATTTTAAAGTTTTAAATTTCTATTCAGTACAACTACAATGTACTATAATATATGTGGAGCTTTAAATCATCTTAAAGAAAACGCTTTGAAGTATGCAAATTTTACACAATTAATGTATTTTTTAATAGCTAGCTATAAGCTTTAATTTTAAGAAAATTTCTTCTTTTTCAAAACAAAAATCCAAGAAATTTCATTTTTTTATTTTACAAAATTTCATTATCTTAAAAGTACAATAAAATTACACACTATCTTATATAATAGCATAAGATTTTGAAAGAAAACTGCATTAAAAAAATGAAACAAAAGAAGAAAAATGATAAAAGTTAAAAGAGCATTTTTGATCTTTATATTTTAAAGATAAACGAAATCTCCTTAAGTAGTGTCATCCACCTTAGTGTCGTCTTTTATCTATTTCTTTTTTTCATATAGCTAGAATAGAATATAAGCAATCCCTTTCATTTTCTTTATGTATTCGAGTGCAAAAATTAAAATATTTTTAAATAATTTTTTTTTTTCAAATTTCTAAAACATTTATAAAATTTTATGGGCTGATTTTGTAAAACAAAAAAAAGAAATTTGTAGAAAATTTCATTGAAAATTTATTGTGATAGTGCACTTTGACGTTATCTTGGTTGAAAATTTACTTGCACTTATAAAAGAGGGATTCAATATGAAATTAGAAAAAGTGAAATTGAAATTTTCTAATCCACATATAGACTTTAGAAAAGCAACATATTGGAAGTAAGAATGGATATTACAAAAAATATAGTAGTAATTCCAGAAAATACATACGGCTGCTTCCAAATTTAGCTTTTGTTTCAACTCTAGCATTTTGTTTGAAAGTTAATGCCTACACTAAAATAGTTGTTGGCTAAAATACACTTCACCATCGTTATTTCCACCCGAAATCGATTTATTTTCATAATCTCATGATTTCAAATGTTTGAACTATAATTTCAAATTAACTAAAACGCCACGTACGCAATATCCAATAACGGAGCAATAATTTGGGAAGTTATATTTATTATGGTCCAATTAAAATCTTAACAATCAAGAGTTGCAAACTTCTTAAAATTGCAAACTTGTACAGTCAAAGAAAAATATTATTTTAGCGTTTATTTTATTATTTCACTGCAAAAGAAGAAAGCCGCTATATTTCTGAATTTTCAAAATTTTGATATTGCATTCAAAAAGATTTTGAATTTGCATCAGTTTTAGAATAAGAAAAGAATTAAACTAGCGAATTAAATTTATTAGATATTTCTGTGTCCAAGCAAAGGTGTGTCAGAAACAAGGTATGGGTCAAATTAAATAGTTGGACTCAGAGAACTAAGTATACAAAAATCGCAATCTCTTCTTTTTTTTTATATATGCGAAAAATTTATTATTAAAACATAGATAAAAAAAAAATCAAACATTTTTTTTAATTTTTAAAAAAATAATTTAAAGAAGAAAACTATTTTATTTTTTCCTCGTTTTTGTATATGAGATGAGAATTATTGATGCAAAAACTAAATCATTGCTAACTCTTGAAATTATACTCTTGACCCAATATCTTTTACAGTCATACATTATCATTCTACTTGACCTAGTATCGTTTTAGAAAAGTTTTCTACTTTTTTTTATATTTTTATTTTATGCCTAAAATGCTAAAAGATTAAAATATGAAGAAGGCAAAAGAGAAGAGAAATTGTTTATTTTTGTTTTTGATCTCAAAGCAAAGTTTAATAATATTAAAAAAAAATGAAGAAAAAAAAAATCGTTTTCTTTTGTGATTCAGGTGGAAGTAAGATGGCATAATGTGAATGCTTTTTAAAGATTGAAGTCTAATTATATAAGTGACAGGGTGACATTTAAATTAAAATTGTAATTTTTTTTTTCGCGAGTTGGAGATCTAGGGAGAGCCAAGGGAGAGGTTTCGTTAAATGCGATTTGTTTTGAAATTTTTTTTTAAATTCAACAGCAATTTTCAGTTTTTTGCAATTTAGAAAGAATTTGATATTTTTTTTTGTTAAATTTTAACGGTATTGAATAAATATGAAGTTTGCCGAATACAATTTCCGATTCAGAAATACTATTTTTAAATGTATAAATGAGTTGTTTGTAAAATACAATCATATTATTTGATAATTACTGTCATCAATTGTGATAACAAGTTAAAAATCAAGAAAATTTTGGAATGCTTATAAATTTGATACCGGTGAAAATTATTAGTTGAAAAATGATCTCTTTCTCTCGTATACAAAGTTTGTCAGATTATAATCTGTTCTCTCAGATTATAAGACCAAAATTCAAACTCTAATGACGTAATAACTCTACATCGAAATAACACAGTTAGCACAATAAAATATGGAAACACTCTGTGTATAATGTATATAGTATACAGAGAAAAATGAATAGAGATGAACAAATCAAAATTATACATTAACATGTGTGTATGTTAAGCTATTTAAATATTTAATTTATTTTCAAAAATTAAAAAAAAATTTCAATTTTATATGAATAGAATTTTCTATAAAAGGATTATAGTTTTTTTTTTACAATATTTTTTTGGCTAAACAATTTTTTTTTTCATTGTGAAAATTTAATGATTTAAATAGAAAATTCTAAATAACATGTCGAGCATTAAATTTGTGAAAATTCAATATTTGAAGAACACACAAACAAAAAATGGCCAAATAGAATAAATCTAATTAATTATTCAATTCGTAGAGTGTTAAATAATCGTAACGATTTAATGCAATGTACATACATACATTTATGAATTTCTATTTATATAATAATCGAAAACATATTTTAAAAATGATTTATTCTAATTGCTAAAGTAAAAAATTGTTATAAATAAATAATAAATATTAATAATTAATTATTTGGATATTTTTCTAATAAACACAATATTTTATTTATTTTAAACAAGTTTTAATTTAATATTTGAATAATTAATTCGAATTGGAGAATAATAAATTAAGTAATTCTATATTTATAATAATTTTAAGGGAGAGGGAGAATTACAATGTGTGACGCGACTGAGTAGAAATGTAGAATGCGGGAAATTATTAATTGATTCTCAAATATGAATTTTAAAAATTTAGCAATAATTGGAATTGGAACATAAATTGCAAACTTTGAAGAAAATGGGAAATAATTGAAATCTGTCAGTGTTTTTTGGTTTTAGCATTAAAAATGTTTTTTTCTCACAGATGAAATTCGGCGCCATTAACTGTATTTATATACATATTCATTTTTGACCAGAACGGAATTCAAAATTGATCTGATTGTGTGTGCCCCTCTTTTCGTTCATTCATTTGTTCGTCCCAGCAGAATCTACACTAAAGGGAGTCCGATTCGCTCAGTTTACGCAAAAAGTGTTCTACCGAAAAATGTCCTGTCAATTTGGACATTCAATTTGGATTCATCCTCTTCAATTCTGAGGAAAACTTCCTCAAGCAAGGTGGAAGGAATAGCTTTTTATTCACCCTTAAGCAGAACACCAACTCTGCCCCTAATGGCAGACGTTGACAGACCACAGAAGGGGGCCCTTTGATCCATTCTTCCCCTACATTCAAATGACCGTTACTCTGTTTGCTGGTGCCAGTTCCACAAGTGCGAGCATATAGCTCTAAAACAACGGCGAACTCTAAAAGCACATAGATTGTGCGACTTTACTTACGTAATCATATATAACAACAAATTTACTTTAAAAATTTTCATTTTTACAATTTTACTGTTGATTTAAATGAGTGAGGATTTAAAAATAAAAAATTATCCATAAAATTAATTCAAATATTGAAATTTTATTTTGAAACAGAAACCGCATATTAAATAATTTTTAAATTTTTATAACATAATTATATAAGTAAATATGTTTTCAATTATTATATAATTAAAAATCAATTGAAATATTAAAAAATTAAAGGAAAATAAATGCAAAACAAACACAATCACATATACGAGTAATAAAATATGTATCTGGTGTTTTTTACTTACCCATTCAGACATTTCATGTGTATCAGCATTTCGATGATGATAGTTTAATATCAGTATTGTTGATACAACGGATGAAGCTACCATGAACATAATACAATTAAAATATGTACCTATATAGATATATCGGGAAAAAATAAAAAGGACAAAGAAAAAGAAAAATAAATGTAAAAAGGATATTAATAAAAGATTAAAAAAATTAATTAAAAAATGTGTAGATTTTTACTTTAAAAATAAAAAATTAAAATCCGATTAAATATTTATTTGAAATAAATAATTTGAATAATTTTTTTAGAGACTTTTGAGGCAAATTGATACAATTTGTGACACCGAAAATTTAAAAAATCATTGGCCATTTTTCAACATTATAGTAGATTGAACACTTGTTTTTTAAATTGATTGGCAATCACCACAAAGACAGGCTCTCACAAGCACTTTAGATGAAAAGAATAATTATGTGTGTATGCAAATTTTCAGTATAGCGTTTTTAACATTATGATTAAATTAGTTTTCAAAATATATAACACATAAATGGCTACGCAACTCGGGTTTAAGTAAAAACTCGGACTATTTGGAACCCCAAACACTCTTAGAATCTTTACAACTTGAAACAAATGGACTTGATAACAATAATAATTGAAAGTATATTTTGTGCTAAATTCAATTACTTTAAAAATTTAATCAACTTAAAACTTTAATTTTAATTGCATTCGGTTAATTGAAATTTAATTACTATTCAGTTTGCGCGGCTTATTTAATAAAGATTTTTCATAACTATAATTGAAAATTTTTAAAATTTAATAAATGTTTTTATTGCGGCATTCTTTACAATACGGGTTGCAACTGTACATGTTCTGCTTGATAATGCGATAGTAAATTCAGACACATTGTTTAATAACACAATTTAAATTTTTCGAAAATTTAAAAGTAAATGCAGAAGGCATAATATGCATTTTTGATTAGTTATTTGGAAAAACTGTATTGTGTTTTATTTTGAAACTAATTTTGATAAGTTTGTGAGGCAATAATTCTAACTGGAAATTTTTGATTCTAAAAAAATAAAATATTCATTGATTTTTCAATAGCTCAAAATGGCAAAAAATTTTTGTTTTTTTGCCAAAGGTCGTGCAAAATTTTAAAAAATTTTCAATTTTTTGCCAAGGTAGGGGGTCGTGCAAAATTTTAAAAAATTTTCAATTTTTTGCCAAGGTAGGGGGTCGTGCAAAATTTTAAAAAATTTTCAATTTTTTGTCAAGGTAGGGGGTCGTGCAAAATTTTAAAAAATTTTGAATTTTTTGCCAAGGTAGGGGGTCGTGCAAAATTTTAAAAAATTTTTAATTTTTTGCCAAGGTAGAGGGTCGTGCAAAATTTTAAAAAATTTTCAATTTTTTGCCAAGGTAGGGGGTCGTGCAAAATTTTAAAAAATTTTCAATTTTTTGCCAAGGTAGGGGGTCGTGCAAAATTTTAAAAAATTTTCAATTTTTTGCCAAGGTAGGGGGTCGTGCTAAATTTTAAAAAATTTTAAATTTTTTGTCAAGGTAGGGGGTCGTGCAAAATTTTAAGAAATTTTCAAATTTTTGCCAAGATAGGGGGTCGTGCAAAATTTTAAAAAATTTTCAATTTTTTGCCAAGGTAGGGGGTCGTGCAAAATTTTAAAAAATTTTCAATTTTTTGTCAAGGTAGGGGGTCGTGCAAAATTTTAAAAAATTTTAATTTTTTGCCAAGGTAGGGGGTCGTGCAAAATTTTAAAAAATTTTTAATTTTTTGCCAAGGTAGAGGGTCGTGCAAAATTTTAAAAAATTTTCAATTTTTTGCCAAGGTAGGGGGTCGTGCAAAATTTTAAAAAATTTTCAATTTTTTGCCAAGGTAGGGGGTCGTGCAAAATTTTAAAAAATTTTCAATTTTTTGCCAAGGTAGGGGGTCGTGCTAAATTTTAAAAAATTTTCAATTTTTTGTCAAGGTAGGGGGTCGTGCAAAATTTTAAAAAATTTTCAATTTTTTGCCAAGGTAGGGGGTCGTGCAAAATTTTAAAAAATTTTTAATTTTTTGCCAAGGTAGGGGGTCGTGCAAAATTTTAAAAAATTTTAAATTTTTTGCCAAGGTAGGGGGTCGTGCAAAATTTTAAAAAATTTTCAATTTTTGCCAAGGTAGGGGGTCGTGCAAAATTTTAAGAAATTTTCAATTTTTTGCCAAGGTAGGGGGTCATGCAAAATTTTAAAAAATTTTCAATTTTTTGCCAATGTAGGGGGTCGTGCAAAATTTTGAAAAATTTTCAATTTTTTGCCAAGGTAGGGGGTCGTGCAAAATTTTAAAAAATTTTCAATTTTTTGCCAAGGTAGGGGGTCGTGCAAAATTTTAAAAAATTTTTAATTTTTTGCCAAGGTAGGGGGTCGTGCAAAATTTTAAAAAATTTTCAATTTTTTGCCAAGGTAGGGGGTCGTGCAAAATTTTAAAAAATTTTCAATTTTTTGCCAAGGTAGGGGGTCGTGCAAAATTTTAAAAAATTTTCAATTTTTTGCCAAGGTAGGGGGTCGTGCAAAATTTTAAAAAATTTTTAATTTTTTGCCAAGGTAGGGGGTCGTGCAAAATTTTAAAAAATTTTTAATTTTTTGCCAAGGTAGGGGGTCGTGCAAAATTTTAAAAAATTTTCAATTTTTTGCCAAGGTAGGGGGTCGTGCAAAATTTTAAAAAATTTTTAATTTTTTGCCAAGGTAGGGGGTCGTGCAAAATTTTAAAAAATTTTAAATTTTTTGCCAAGGTAGGGGGTCGTGCAAAATTTTAAAAAATTTTCAATTTTTGCCAAGGTAGGGGGTCGTGCAAAATTTTAAGAAATTTTCAATTTTTTGCCAAGGTAGGGGGTCATGCAAAATTTTAAAAAATTTTCAATTTTTTGCCAATGTAGGGGGTCGTGCAAAATTTTGAAAAATTTTCAATTTTTTGCCAAGGTAGGGGGTCATGCAAAATTTTAAAAAATTTTCAATTTTTTGCCAATGTAGGGGGGTCGTGCAAAATTTTGAAAAATTTACAATTTTTTGCCAAGGTATGGGGTCGTGCAAAATTTTAAAAAAATTTTAATTTTTTGCCAAGGTAGGGGGTCGTGCAAAATTTTAAAAAATTTTCAATTTTTTGCCAAGGTAGGGGGTCGTGCAAAATTTTAAAAAATTTTCAATTTTTTGCCAAGGTAGGGGGTCGTGCAAAATTTTAAAAAATTTTCAATTTTTTGCCAAGGTAGGGGGTCGTGCAAAATTTTAAAAAATTTTCAATTTTTTGCCAAGGTAGGGGGTCGTGCAAAATTTTAAAAAAATTTTAATTTTTTGCCAAGGTAGGGGGTCGTGCAAAATTTTAAAAAATTTTCAATTTTTTGCCAAGGTAGGGGGTCGTGCAAAATTTTAAAAAATTTTCAATTTTTTGCCAAGGTAGGGGGTCGTGCAAAATTTTAAAAAATTTTCAATTTTTTGCCAAGGTAGGGGGTCGTGCAAAATTTTAAAAAATTTTCAATTTTTTGCCAAGGTAGGGGGTCGTGCAAAATTTTAAAAAATTTTCAATTTTTTGTCAAGGTAGGGGGTCGTGCAAAATTTTAAGAAATTTTCAATTTTTTGCCAAGGTAGGGGGTCATGCAAAATTTTAAAAAATTTTCAATTTTTTGCCAATGTAGGGGGTCGTGCAAAATTTTGAAAAATTTTCAATTTTTTGCCAAGGTAGGGGGTCATGCAAAATTTTAAAAAACTTTCAATTTTTTGCCAATGTAGGGGGTCGTGCAAAATTTTGAAAAATTTTCAATTTTTTGCCAAGGTATGGGGTCGTGCAAAATTTTAAAATATTTTCAATTTTTTGCCAAGGTAGGGGGTCGTGCAAAATTTTAAAAAATTTTTGTTTTTTTGCCAAGGTAGGGGGTCGTGCAAAATTTTGAAAAATTTTAAATTTGTTGCCAAGGTAGGGGGTCGTGCAAAATTTTAAAAAATTTTCAATTTTTTGCCAAGGTAGGGGGTCGTGCAAAATTTTAAGAAATTTTCAATTTTTGCCAAGGTAGGGGGTCGTGCAAAATTTTAAGAAATTTTCAATTTTTTGCCAAGGTAGGGGGTCGTGCAAAATTTTAAAAAATTTTCAATTTTTTGCCAAGGTAGGGAGTCGTGCAAAATTTTAAGAAATTTTCAATTTTTGCCAAGGTAGGGGGTCGTGCAAAATTTTAAGAAATTTTCAATTTTTGCCAAGGTAGGGGGTCGTGCAAAATTTTAAGCAATTTTCAATTTTTGCCAAGGTAGGGGGTCGTGCAAAATTTTAAAAAATTTTAAATTTTTTGCCAAGGTAGGGGGTCGTGCAAAATTTTAAGAAATTTTCAATTTTTTGCCAAGGTAGAGGGTCGTGCAAAATTTTAAAAAATTTTCAATTTTTTGCCAAGGTAGGGGGTCGTGAAAAATTTTAAAAAATTTTCAATTTTTTGCCAAGTTAGGGGGTCGTGCAAAATTTTAAGAAATTTTCAAATTTTTGCCAAGGTAGGGAGTCGTGCAAAATTTTAAGAAATTTTCAATTTTTGCCAAGGTAGGGGGTCGTGAAAAATTTTAAAAAATTTTCAATTTTTTGCCAAGTTAGGGGGTCGTGCAAAATTTTAAGAAATTTTCAAATTTTTGCCAAGGTAGGGAGTCGTGCAAAATTTTAAGAAATTTTCAATTTTTGCCAAGGTAGGGGGTCGTGCAAAATTTTAAAAAATTTTCAATTTTTTGCTAAGGTAGGGGGTCGTGAAAAATTTTAAAAAATTTTAAATTTTTTGCCAAGGTAGGGGGTCGTGCGAAATTTTAAGAAATTTTCAATTTTTTGCCAAGGTAGGGAGTCGTGCAAAATTTTAAGAAATTTTAAATTTTTGCCAAGGTAGGGGGGTCGTGCAAAATTTTAAAAAATTTTCAATTTTTTGCCAATGTAGGGGGTCGTGCAAAATTTTGAAAAATTTTCAATTTTTTGCCAAGGTATGGGATCGTGCAAAATTTTAAAAAAATTTTAAATTTTTTGCCAAGGTAGGGGGGTCGTGCAAAATTTTAAAAAATTTTCAATTTTTGCCAAGGTAGGGGGTCGTGCAAAATTTTAAAAAATTTTCAATTTTTTGCCAAGGTAGGGGGTC